AAGTTGACATATGATCTCAACTAACCAAATCACTTCATACTCGATCGAAGAGGCCGGATGCAGAGTATGTGTACCACTTTTTAGGGATTTGCCGGTGAGTTTTCTTGACTCGATAGCTTGAATTTGGTTGTGACGATGATACCCTCGATTTTATGACGATGTTCGTCATGTGACGGACGAAAGTTTAGCACCTTTTCACCGGAATCTAACCGGAATCCGCCGTCGTCTTCTGGTGGAACCGACCTTTGAATCTCTTCACCCAACCCTTTCACTCGAAATAGAGGTAATCTCAATAACCTGATTTTCGCAACTTCATCGGAGCATCAGAGAGACCTCGTGACACGTGCCCACTCCTGTTTCCTCTGCCAAAGTATTCATAATGCTTTCCAGCACAAGACCAATGATCTTCTATTTTAACAAACGTTCCGCCGGCATCGTAGTCGGCCAAGGGGATTGTCTTCATTTGTGCTGACGATGCCGGCGAAAGATTTGCCAATGCTCCGAGACAATGGTCCGATGCTGGCGATCTCGAATGCTCTGCAAGAGGACATTCCACAAGGTCGCTCTGATGCTCCGACGAAGTTGGACCAGTTTTCAAAGCTGACCTCGTTTCTACCGTCAGTGAGTTGATCAACTCGGTGAGATCGGCAAAGTTCACTGACTAAATTTCGGATATTCTCGAAACAGACATTTTTCCGTTAACATTCCACCAATTCTGGCCTTGTCAACGGTATCGACAAAATGTGCCAACTCCGTCAGTTGGTTCAGTGGCTCAAGTCGACAAAGTCGACGCTGTCAAAATCGGAAAGTTGTCCTGGAATTGAAACGTTATGCCATTTCACGCCGACACTAAGCTCCGCTAACGTCACAAACGTCTGTCAGTTTGTCAGTTTGTCAGTTTGTCAGTTCAGTTGCCTAGCCCCGCAGAGCATGATTGCCCCGACCGGACGGCACCTAGTCCTGTCGTGTCGGCTGTGCATGCGATGTTGGAAACCAAGGTCAAAACCAACTTATAGCTCATAACTTATTGATTGGGTACATGTAGGCAAGACGACACAAAGTCTGCATGATTTCCTCGACTATATGCATAGCGTGAATGGGAAGTAGAGAAGGCCGGCAGTCTACATTTTTGGAGGTTCTAGTTGGTAAAGAAGCGGTAAAATTGGTCGATTATGCGCATAGGATGTTCACACCTTCGAGATTCTCTCTTAATTTGGTATCTAATCATCCCTACAAGGTCAAAATAGCAGTTACCAACTCAATTATGGTATGGAGTTGGAAAGTTAATAAAGATTTTCGTTGGGTACAATTTTATAGCAGGATTAATTGTCAGTTATTTGAGAATACATGAAATTAGGATCCTGATCTTGCCGTCCTATTACGAGTCAAAAAAGACTGGCGAGTCATTAAGGAAGTGGATTATTGAAGAAAATAATGATGAAGTGGTACCTTTTTTCCGGAATTTTGGGACTTTCTCCAAATCACTTTGCTACAGGGTTCATATGGAAGCCTGTTTGCTGGAGAGAACTGTCAAACCACCCAAAAGAGGTCATCTTCACAACAATCTACCAACATCTTGTTTCTGCAATACTAGCTCATCAAGGAAGGATCAGATCAGACCTAAAGAATGGTTTCTAGTCGTAATGATGTGAGTCACGATTGTACAGACGGATCTCAGCCCAGGCTAGACTGAGCTCGCAGAGGAATTGTCGTCGCGACGATCCACTCTTGACTTTGTGTGAGGCCAAATCAAGAAGATCTGCTAACCGAGAAGTAGTTGGAAATGAAATTTCCAGTTACCCGATTGCAGTCCTATTGCAAAAATGGAGATAGAATAGCTACGCAAACTATCCCACTCTGCTGAAACCATAGAAACTCCTCGGCATGAAACACACCGCACTGTAAAACAGACTTTATTATGTAGAGCTTCGATAGATGTTTATGTTTATATATCTTCAAAGGTGAGTGGGAAATATTCACTTATTGCCTCATCTGAAATGTAGGAATGGGGCGTTGAAACACTTTTCGAGCATGTTTCATTAAACACCAAACCAACCTCTTTGGTCTTATGTGTGCACACTTCATTAGGCATCTGGTGATTTGGATGGTTATTTCACATTCGAATAAGATGTGAGTTTAGAAGAATCTCCTCAATTTCATTTCGAGTGAAGGTGCTTTAGCGAAGAGATTCAAAGCTCAAACCGACCACCTTTTGGGAAGGCAAGAATAAATAAAATTCAATGGAACCATCAGCTCTATTCATATCATTGTGGGAAATTCAACTACCAGATCTGCGTCACCTTAAACGAAATAGGGTAGTTTCAAAACACTACTTATAAACGAAAAATGTTTATTTTTATGCTCTCATCGGATTGCTCGCAGATGCGTTAAGAGGTGGCGGTTTGAAAATAAGTGTTTTTTTGTGCAAAATCACTAAATTTTCATTCTACACCCTTCACCCAGTGTACCAGGTACCACAACAGGAATTCATTAAAGATTCCTTGCCCAACTACTTATATCGAAAATAAGTATTCAATATAATTTCTAGTCCTGATTATATCTTGGACATTTAATGGCTGTTGACAAGCTGATTTGCCTATTTTTGTCTTTCCCACTTCAAACCCTTCTCACTCCCGCTGGGATGATGACGCTTATTGCCGACAGTCCGGCGTCTACTCAGCGATGGCGTCTGCCCGGACGTCTCCAACGAGGACGGACTAACTGCTCTGCATCAGGTGAGTTTCTGCCTCCTCTCCCTCTATCGGCCTGAAGGTTGGATTTTATAGCCCAAGACGACCTCGAGCGATCAAGCCAGGCGTTTCCTTGATGATCCTGCGGCCGGGTCTGAATGCATGTTCGCCTCATTGGCACCCTCCGACCGCACTTGAGGTCCCGCGAGGCTTTCAGAGATGATCTCTCATCACAAGCTCACTTTGCCATTCACAAATTCTGTAGCCCCGGTTGTTTTCGCCAAGCAAACCGGTGTGCAGACAAGCTGGGCCCCAAGGAACCATTTAATTGTTTTGATTCGTCTGAAAATTTTGCCGGAAAGGACTCGTAACTTTGCCCTGTCGGACAATCTATGGGAATCTCTCGAACTTGCGATTAAGGGATTGTGCGAAGAAGACCTCGGCTCACCGTCCTGCAACACCGAGGAATCCCTGCTGAGCTTTCGTCCGTTATGTGGCGGGCCAGAAAATTCACCGAGAACACCAAATCGCGTTTATTGGTGGTCTGAGGAGGTGGGGAGATTAATCGTCTCGAGGCCTACTCACGACGAGTATAAGTAGCATAATCGAAAAATGGAAAATAAAAGTTTATCTAATTAAAATTTCCCTAATAAAAAATGTGATTTATCCCGAAATATCTATCG